AAAGCTTCGAATTTTAACTTTACAACCACGATATCTTTTTCAAACAACAAAGATAAATTATTTTTCGAAGGGTACTGCATCATGTTGAATCAAGCTTTTTTGACGATGTCCCTCTTAAAGACTATCTAAGAGAATTAGGCTTTAGCCACAGTGACACCGGCGCTGCAGGTCGTAAAAAGCCTGCCTTTGCCTTTTAGTCTGCTCATCTTCTTGATCGAGAATAATTTACCGTCACCCATTCAGCCTATGCCAATTAATAAACAGCTTCTACATAAGTATATAAGGAGTATGTGTGTAAGCTTCGTTGTGCGTGACACAATATTTCAAAACTGTTGCTCAATGAACTTGAACTCCATGGATAGAGGCCAACAGGCTTAACTTGAGCAAGTAATCAAAAAAGTTGTTGATCCTAATATATCAATAAAAGAGGTTGTAACCATACGGCTATATAGGCCGAGGCTAAGCGTTCAGAAGTGACATATCCTTGATATGATCATATTGAGACTTTGATTTCTTTTATTTTAAAGCCATCAATTCTCAATCCTCTGAATGTAATAAACGTTTTAATAAATCAGTCAGACAAAAGATCAGTATCGAGATGACGAAAATCCACGGAATACAATGCGGATTCTTATGCTCTCCTCGTTCTGTTTTTCTCGTTTTTTGGGGTAATTTATGGTTAGCATGCGTTATGTCTACTAAAAGCTTTATAGAAGATGACTCACGTATTTCGATTATATCGATTTATTCGGAATATTCAACCTTTAATCATCCGTTGCTCAGACATCAATTTTATTCCTTGTCCTTAGCTAATATCCTCTTGATCCTACTCACTCATCTTGTATCTTCCTCCATACTGCGTCCGCTGCCTCAAAAGTGGTGTTAGACCCGTCTACTTCCGGCCAGCTGCCCAGGTGACAGCACCGACTGTGGCACCGGCCGATCCGCCAAGACTGCTCGCAAAGCTGGCTAAAGTGCTATCCAATGCATCTAAAGCATTTGACTTTGGCGCTGAGTTTTCCAGAACCAATGGTCGAATTGGATTACTAGGGTCGAAAGGCTTCAGACCTTTGCGCAGTAATGCAGAAATAAAAATAAAAAACGAGTAATACGATAAATATGTGCAATAATCAACAAGAACGAGTCCACGCTACGAAATTTTGCATCAGTCTTTGTATGGATATTTAAAGTTACTTTGAAAGCATATTGAGCATGACATTTGGATCTGTCAACTACGCTAAAATGTGCGAAATGGAATAACAATTATCATAAATCGATGAAGGGAGATCTTGTGGAACGATCGACTTGGTACATTCCCAAACATTTCGCCAACTAGAGGCGCCATCGCTAGCACAGTTACACTTTATCAAATGAAGGCATTCCCCTTGACCAATTCTATGTCCAATCGTTGTGGCATTACTCCTCGCCACTATTCTTTGTCATAGCCTCTAGTTCTGTATCTCTTTCTCTCAACCCCAGGCCTATTCGCCTATTCATACAATTCTTTGCTCCAATGTAGTTCAAGAGTGTGTCGCTTCCAGATAATAAAGTGAAGCGCAATCATCTTCATCACTGGTTCCAGGTGACGTTTGTAGGGCTTCTGATTTTCACTCAACCCCCCATTTTTCCACCCCGCTTGTCAATTAGTTTTTGCTATACATCGAGATCACTGTGTAGCTGTCTATGAGCATTCAACTCCCCTTCCCATTTACGTCATATTCAAGGATTTACAGCAGATGATGCCCGTGCCTAAGAATCTTCTCCCTAGGCTTTAGACCCACCACCCGGTTATCCTCTTTCTTATCCCAACCCACACAGAATCTCACTCTAGGGTCCTGTGTCCGGCTTAATAAAAAAATGCCAGTGTGAACATTTACCGCTTCTCTTTTTCACTCCTCTTGTCTATCAAGTTGACGGTCCCATCTAATACTGGGGTAATAGGCAGTTGTTCATGTGTACATTGGCTGGCATCCCTTCCTTTTTGGTTAGGCATGTCATCAGTCACTTCTCATTAAGGCACGCGCTCGAAATATGCCCACATGACGGACGAAAGCTCAGCGAGGTCGCAGGGCGGTGTGCCGAGGACCTATTCGCACAAATCTCCAAGGCAACTTCTCTAGAGCTTCCGGTGAGACAAATTTACTAATCCCTTCCACTCGTCTCGCCAAATGAAATGAAAAGTCGCATCATCCTAGTCTTCATATCCTCGAGTAAACATCAATATTATTTTTCTCATGCAAATACAGTTTTGAGACTACCAGTAAATCAGTGTAATGAGATGTATTGACCCAATTTTGTGTAAGGTGATGAAGGACTGGTAATAGAATTTTTCCACAATGATATG